CTGGTTTATCAGTTGGTGACAGAATCCATACTTTTGGTCACACCTTAGGTACTGCAACCTAAGACAACACTACACATACAGTACCCACCCTAATATTTGGGAAAAGCCAATACCATAATCTGTATTTATAACAATGGGTTTCCCTTTATGCAATCCCAGCAGTTTGATTCCAGCCCAAAGCTCTCCAAGGAGCTTTCTGTCATTGTGGCTCCTTGTTACAATGAGCAAAACTTTCTGTCAGTGTTTGAGGCGTGAACTATTTCAGTCCCTGGCGTGGGAGGGGCAGGAGCGTCCAGCAGCTGTGGGATAAAGCCTTGCCTGGTTTTCCATCGGCAGAGCACCTGTGATCCAGTGCCAAACCACTCGGAGAGCCTGAGCCACACTGTGACCGTGCCCCTGCAGGCCCCGCTGGGGACACTGGAGGAAATCGCCTGCTGACCCCTCCCACCACAGTGCCCACCCCGAGGAAGGAAAACTGCACAGGGAAAACAGGGACCCAGCTCAGGTTTGCACTGGGGGGAAAAAAAAAGATGGAAGAAAAAAATACTGGGGAAAAAAGAACTGGAAAAATACTGAAAAAAAATTATTAAAAAATCTATTTAAAAAATAAAAAAAAAAAAAAAGAAGAAGAAAAACTCGCTATGCATTAAAAGAATATAAAATAATATAAAAATATAAATTCTAAATATACTCTGCCCAAAGTGAGAGGCGCCTTGGACCTGACTCCTGTTGTCCTTTCCTCCTGGGGGGGGTTGACTCCAAGCTGGGAAGCAGCTCCCAGGCTGGGAGAGAATGTTCACCTGGAAAAGGGAAGCTCAGAGAAGAAAAACCTCAGAGCCCCTTCCAATGCCTAGAGGGGCTCCAGGAGAGCTGGAGAGGGACTTGGCACACAGGAAGGAGGGACGGGACACTTTTTGGGATTGTCCAAGCCTGAGCAGCAGCAGCAGCAAATCCCAAAGGAAGCATCCCGAATATCCCAAGCGCTGCATGCCAGGGCTTTCCCTGGCCCCGGGATTCCTCAGCTGCCTCCCTCAGCTCTGTTCCTCTTTGCAGTCCCTGGGTTTCAGTGCCAGAAGGAGCATCCCAGAATTCTCCATTCCCAGCGCCGTAGGCTGAGAGTTTTAGAATAAAAGACACCCAAAAGTCGCCGCTCTCGGATTCTTCTCGCGGTCGCGCCCTCCGGGTGAGGTTGGGCTGAATCCCGAGCTCAGCCCAAGGTGAGCATCCCTGGAGAGGAGCCAAGGGGCTCCCTATGGATCATCCCAGTCCTGCTCCTCCACCTGCAGTGCCTGGAGAGTCCAGGAGCAGCAAGGCGGGGGGGGGGGGGGGGGTTGGGTTCATTTATTTCTTTTTTAATTTTGGGGGGGAATTTTTGGAATTTCCTTCTTCTCTCATTCATGGATTCTGTGCTTTCTCCTCATTCTCCTGACTGATATTAAAGCTGGTCTTGTGGAAATGGCCGGGCTGTGTCATTCCTGCCTTGCCCTCATCCCCAGCTGGGAGGGCAGATCCCAGGAAAAGCCTTCCCAGGGCTCTTCCTCATCCCTTCTCCCTCCTTTTCCTCTCCCGTGTCCTCACAGCTCGGGATGGGGTGGGAGTGGTGCCATGGCCATGCTCAGCTGCATCCCTGTCTTCTCTGGGGTGGGGATCTCCAGGATGTGCTGGGATCTCTGGGATGTTGTGGAATCTCTTTGCTGACAGAGGAGTTGGAAAACTCCCCGTGAGGTTTTGGGATTGTTCAGCTTTGAGAGAAAAAGCTTTGGGGTGACCTCATTGAGGCCTTCCAGTGCCTGAAGGGAGCCTGGAAAAAACATGGAGACAGACTTGGGACAAGGGGTGGAGGGACAGGACACAGGGAATGGCTTCCAACTGCCAGAGGGCAGGGCTGGATGGGATATTGGGAAGGAATTCCTCCCTGAGAAGGTGGGGAGGGGCTGGGATGGAATTCCCAGAGCAGCTGTGGCTGCACCTGCATCCCTGGCAATGTCCCAGGCTGGGCTGGAGCAGCCTGGGACAGTGGGAGGTGCCCCTGCCATGGCAGGGATGGGAATTCAGTGATCTTTAGGCCACTTCCAACCCAAACTGGTCCAGGATTCTGGGATTACAACTTCTCCTTTACTGATCCACTTTAACTGGGATAACAAGAAAATCCATTTCCATCCAAGTACATCCCAGAATGTGTCAGCAGTGGCTTCATCCCTGTATCCAGGCACTGGATGGATCTGCTCTGCTACTTCTCCAGCACAGGGAGAGACCTGGGAATTTTAAGAAACGCCCTCAGGGAGAGATGAGGGTTTGAGGGGCCTGGAAAAAGGGTCCTGAGCCCTGACGGAGAGGGATGGGAGGAGATTTCATTTCCAATTCCAAACCACATCAGGATTAAGTGTTCCATTTACAAAAAAAAAAAAAAAAAAAATCAGGAAAAGCTATGAGGATTTTTTGGGGATTCAGGAGAAAAAACAACCAAAGTTCAAACCCCCAGTACAGCCTCAGCTCTGCTGAGTGCCACAGGATTTTCAAGGGAAAAGAAAAGCTTCATTATTTGCAGTAATTTATCCCAAACTGGCTTGGAGCGCATTCCAAGGAAAAGAGAAAGGAGTGGAAAACTCACTGGCAGATCCATCCCACCCCTGCTTGGTGTAGGATGGATCTGCCCAGGGATGGAGCTGGGATGGAGCTGGAAGCAAGGATGGAAGCCAACCATCAGCTCCCAAATCCTGATGGAAAAAATGGAAAAAGAATCCCTGTGGGAGATGAAAATCCCATTGACAAGGTGGGGAAATCCAGAGTGGGATTGACCTGGGGTTTGCCTGAGCTGGAGCTCAGCAAATTCAACATCAACCACAAATGCATCAAACAAAGGTGGATTTGCCATCCCAAGGGATAATCCCCCTTGGAGCTCCACAGGGCTTGGAGCACTGGATCATCCGTGCTGGGCAGCATCTCCAGGGCTGGGACAATGAGGAAAATCCCATGGGAATGCTTCAGGAGAAAAAAGCAGGAGCAGAAGCAGCTCTGAGAAGGCCTTTCTGAAGTGCAGCTGCATTTTTGAGGAATGGGAGAGCTCAGCTTGGCATGGGGAGGGCTGAGCCCAGGCCAGAGCACATTCCTGGGATTTATGGCCCAGCCAGCACATCCCTGACCTGCTCCCACAGCTGTGTTCCCACAAGGACCAGGAAAACACCCGGGAAACGTTCGTGGAGTCACTTCCACTTGCTCAAGGTCACACAAGCCCCTCTCCCTATTCCTCCTGCATTCCCAGCATTCAGGAGGCTCCTCCATCCCACGGGATGCTCAAAGGACCAGCACTTTATCATTCCCGGGAATCACCAACTGTGAAGGACATTCCATGGTCCATTCTCCCTGCTCCTCCCCCTGAGCCTGCAGCAAGGACAGCAATTAGAGGTAATTAATGGGAATTTTTAGCAGGAAAATTGTCCTTGTTTTGTGTTAGTTTGGGTGGGAAGAGCCCAGTCCCAATCCTATCCCAATGGGAATTCTTGTGATGGTTCCTCTCCCACCCCTTGGTGGTTTCTGAAGGTTTTGTTGCCTTCTCCACTCCCAGAGCTCAGTGATGATCCTTTAGCTGATGGAATTTCTGGGAGCAGCAATCGCTGTTTCCTTGCCTGTGTCTGAACACATCCATATTAACGGGCTTTGAGTCTGACTCCAGCTTTAAGCTTTTCCCTCCCCTCTTCCCTGTGTTTCCCAGCATCTCCATTGTTATTCCAGGCAGGAATATCCACCAGCCTTGTTAAAGGAATCCTCTTTACACTCTGCAGGGTTCCTGCTGTTCCTGAGCCCCAAAGCACACCCAGGGTTTCATCCAGGAGAACTGTGGAGCAAGCTGGAATAGGGAGATCAGGCTGATCCCAGCTGCATTCCTGGAGGGTTCGATGTTGGAATCCTCAGTGACATCCCTGGGATTTCCTTGGAGCTCTGGGGTGAAGGTGGGGTGGGATCACTCCCAGGTCACCAGTTTGGGGAATTCCTGCTCCCAACTCTGCATTTTTTTTCCCTCCCTTAGCCTCTCCACCCCATCCAAGAATTCCTTTTTCCTTAAATTTTTGTCCCTCCTTCAACCTTGCCCAGATTTGGGGCTCCCCAAGCTCCCTCTGTACCTGCAGCAAAACCACACTGCTGTTCCCTTCACTTGCAATAATTCCTTCATTTTCCCCACTGGGATTCCCGAGGCTCCTCAGCTGCTCCTGACACGGCTGTACCTGCCCAGCTGGAGCTGCTGGAATCTGGGATCCCTCCAAGGCAGCTCCAGGCTCTAAGGGTGGGTCCTGCTCAGCGCCACCCAAGCAACCCCCCCTGCATGGGGACAGGCTGATCCCACATTCCTGAGCCATCCAGGCTTATTTCCCATTTCTGTGCTGTCCAGGCTGCTCCTGTCCCATTCTTCTACTATCTAAGCTGCTCCAGACAGGATGTTCCCACATTTCTCTGCATTCCAGGCTATTCCTTCATCTTTGAGCCATCCAGGCTGCTCCTGTCCCATTCCCCTCCCATCCAGGCTATTCCTTCATTCCTGAGCCGTGCAGGATGCTCCCAGATTTCTGTGCATTCCAGGCTGCTCCTGCATTTCTGTTCCATCGGGGCTGCTCCCCCATTTCCCCACTCCAGGCACCCCCAGGACAGTTCTGTGGGATTGTGGAGCTGTTCCCAAGGGCAGGGCAGGGCTGGCTCCTGCAGGGCTGAGCTGTTGGCTCCACAGCCGGGGTGGAAGTGCAGCAGCTCCCAGCTTCTCCTCCATGTGCTTCCTCCTCCCGTTTCCATGTTGGAATTCCTGCTGGGTCCTGTCCAGGATTTGAGTCCCTCCTTGGAGACTCCCAGTGCTGGTAGGAGGGACTTGGCAAAGAGCAGCAAAACCTCGGGCATAGCAGGGAAGTTTGCAAAGCACAAATCCCACCAATCTCCTGCAGGAAAACATAAGGAGGAGCAAAGTGGAGCAGGACCAGGTGGGGAGGTCCCACCTTCAGCTCTTCCTGGAAACATCCCAATGATTTTTCCCAAGTCCAGGGTTGGGACTGCTCAGGTGCAGGTTTGTCCTGGTTTCCCACACTCCATGGGGGACATTGGTCATCCAGAGGCTCCCTGAGGGTAATTAATAGCTGTAATTCCTGAATTCCCAGCTGGGAGTTTCACCATCCAACCACAGATCATTGCTCTGGCAGCAGGAGCACTGTGGGCTGTTTCCATGAGCAGGATCTGCAGGAAAAACCCTGGCAGGGTTTGGGGCTGGCATGGGAATGTCCAGAAGAAGAGAAAATCCCAGCAACCTGATCCCAAAATAAAGAGAATGGAGGAGTCTGGAGAGGAGCCCTCCAGGGAACACCTCATGGCATTGCTCTGCTCTTTACTCCCCTCTGGACTGACCCTGACTGGATCCCACATCTCCCATATCCCTGAATCCTCAGCAACAGCTCTAAGCCACTCCAGGGCAATGGGATTTCAGGCACAGTTGGATTTTCCCAGTTAAACCCATGGCCGAGATTCTGGGGAGCTGCTTTAATTTGGAT